TTAATTTCGCAATTCGCAAGAAAGACGGGATGCGTACGACGTCGTCGATAACAGCTATAATTTACAAAAGCTTCCAAAAGTACATAACATGCTGTATGTAATTTACGCAAATAGTACACATTTAAATAAAACACTTTAACGGTTTAAAACGCGATTTATTTTGGTTAAACTTTTTTGAGAATTATTTTTAGCTACGGCCAGACGTTTCGGATGCTTTGTAGCAGCCGTGGTCACGGGGAGGCTGTCTTCCGTGACCACGTTAAACCGTTTAAGTGTTTTATTTAAACATAACATGTTGCCCAAAATATTCCATCCGAAGTCACAGTTAGTACAATATAAAATTAGATATAATTATAATTCTTCTCCTAAACTCACTATCTCTCATATTATTGGCAATATGTGTCAAAAATGGCGTATGGTGTCTTAAAACAAAAGCTGTAAAGTTTGCAGCTGATGTATGAACTACGAGGAAACAATATGACATGAATTATTCATATTGAGCCGATAGTAAAAGACAGGCTGGGCTCCAAGATTCGGGTCACTATTGATGATATTTCTATTCATGCAGACGATTATGAAGATTTATCTAGTACAACAAACTCTAGAGTGCAATAAAATGAAAAATTAAAAGGGTAAATAAAACACGTAATATATTCGTTATGCATACTTTAATATTTTTCACGTGATGGCACTATATAAATTAAAAATCTATACTAATATTATAAATGCAAAAGTAACTTTGTCTGTCTGTCCGGCTTTAACTCCGAAACTACTGAACTGCTTTAAATGAAATTTGGTACGCAGATATTTTAGGGCCTGAGGAAGGACATAGGACTCAATTTCAAAAGAGGGTTGTATGGCTTGAAAATGGGGATGAAAGTTTGTATGGACATACGTGGTTTTTTAATCTTTCTTCTTTGGCTTTTTGGGAATAGGAGTGGGCGTGGGAGTGGGAGTATGTGTAGGAAGGAGAGTGGGAGTTAGAGTAGGAGAGATGTGGGGTGAGAGTGTTGTGGCAAGTAGCATTTACAACATGATTGGCTGCCTTAAATGCGCCCTTACCTAAATTAATAAACAGCCTCAATAATTAAAAATTCTACCCCAAGTCACTATTCCATACGGGTACAGCTAGTTGATTATAAAAAAATACGGTAGCCAATTGGTTAGAGCAACAACACGGAACGTTGTGGATGTGGATCGGTTCAAGTCCTGCCCGAGTCGTAATTATTTTCAATTCATAATTGATTTTTAATGTATATGATTGTTATATACTGTCTATAGTTTACGCGAGTACGCGTATATATGACGTGTAAATTGTACACATTCAAATAAAACACTTTAACTTAACACACAAAGCATCCGAAACGTCGGGCCGTTGTTAAAAATCATTTTCAAATAAGTTTATCTAATATATCGCGTTTTAAACCGTTAAAGTGTTTTATTTAAATATATTTGTTATGTTGTTGAATTACGAGTGGCATTTTTGCTTTGGAGTAAAAATAATAAATAAACAACTAAAACTTATACTGTTAGTTTAAAAGGTAATAATAAAAATAGTGACAAATCTTAGAAGACTTTATATTTAGTCTTCGTCAATGTCTGTCGATTAAGCTCAAAAAGGAAATAAAATTGAATAAAGCAAAAAGGATCTTTCATTTATTTCATTACACGATTTCTCTTATTTTTAAGGTGCAAATCACAATATAATCTCATATTCTCTAAAAGGAACAAATTGTATTAGATTCTATTATTTATTATTTATGTGGACGATTCTGAGAAAGATCGTGAGAAAAAGACATGAAAATGATCTTTATTTATCGCAGATATTACCGGATTTCACGATAAAGGTAACTCGAGTCCTGGAAAACATTTTTCTTACATATCGGATCGTTGGTATCGGATAGCGCAATGTACAGCTAACAATCGAGGAGTATTGAGTTCGATTCCCACCGGGTGCCACTGAAATAAGTTAAACTTTACCCGGAGTTCTAGAGTAGAAACCGAGAGACATTAAAGGAATAACAATGGTCACAAACGACCATCCACAAATGAAAAAACCGTGAAGTGTTTCGGCTACAAAATAGGTCACCGCATCTGCTAAAGATAAAATCCGTCTTCGATATGTCACTTCGACATATTCCATCGAGTCTGTTTGTCTGTCCTCCTGTCACAAAATGTTCTTTAATGATCTACGAGAGAAATAAAAGATCACGTTGCGTTGCCAATTTAAACCCTTTATCAGACGAAGTTTCTTCATTAAACAACTTTTGTTGAGTTGGCATCTACTAATATCTTGGAGCGCTAAACGAGGCCGATACTTCAGTTTCAAAAACAATACCTACAATAGTTTTAACAGTTTTTATCAGTGTGCTGAAATTTGATCTTGTTAGTTCGAATATATAAAAAATATGTTTTTTTTAGTTCATATAATTATTTTGAACCTCAGATTTCAATAACAAAATATGATTCTCTAGTACATAACAACATAACATATATGTTATCACTAAAAGTAGTAGTTAGTAGTTGACAGTGAATTCAAATCCCGCCTACCTTATTTTTTCTAAAATACTTTAAAATTATATAAGCTCTCTATTTACTTACATATGACAATTATGACGATTTACTCTATAACTTATGTCAATTTAACATTTGAGTTAATGAAAGAAAACACAAATAACCTAAAAAGTACTCGCAAATGACGTGATTGTAAAACTCGTGTTTTATCTGTTTAAATTAGTTAAGTTGAGTAATTCATAGAAAGTGAAATCCCTAAGCCATATAACATTTTAACAAGACCTATTTTGGTTTAGGACCTTTGAATACCAACCAAACATTCACTTCTCGGGGTTTTCATCTCTAAGACAGTGGGCGGCATTTTGACATAACTTCCATCATTTTAATATTTAGATTTTCCAAACGCAGTCTATCATGGGACCGAAATCCATTGCTACATGGGACCATTGCTACCATAAGAACAAACCCGCCGTATACAACTAATACTACAGTTTAAATTCTTAGAAACCGCTTAGTAATATTAGTAATGACAGACAAAAGGGTACAGCGGTAATCTCATTAACACTGGAGAGACAAAATATAACACAAGCGTGGGTGTGACCGAATAATGACAATTGTCTGAGGTTACCCGCTACAGTGGTTATGTACAGTGTATATGACAGGACCATTAATTTGAAAATCTCCGGCTATGTCAACCGCATGCACCGCCCACAAAATGATCTATAATGGATCTATATGTATTATAATGTGCTATGCTGTAAAAATTATAGTATCAAATTTTTCATCGCAATAGACGCCGGAAAAGCGATTAAAGGATTTGATTGGTGAGTGTAAAAAAGTGGCGTGCAAATTATGTCAATCTTAAAGCTTCTAATTTATTTTTGTCGTTTACGTGAATGAAACGCATTAAATAGAATACTTTGAACGGTTTTAAATGCGATATATATAATTCTACCCGTCACCATGGCGGCTCCAAAGCATTAACTATGAAAAAAGCTTTTAGCGTTACTTATGGTAGTTAATTTATTTGTTTCCAGTGTCGACGTACCAGGCAGATAAAAGTCATTTTTATAAGTTTGCCTAGTAAATAATATAGGTATTTGTATTTATTACTTAGCTCAAAGTAGGTGTCTCCCTAGGCAGTAAAATTCACAACGAGGTAGGTATGTAGCAGTGAGATATTAATTAGTCTAGATTTTCAAGAGAAAATTAAAATCTCCAGTTTAAAGTTTAACAAAATCTGGGACGCAGCTAGTACCATAAATAACCAGTGAAATTTTCTCATTACGTTACTTAGCTCAGTTTTTCTTAGCGCACAATAAATTTAATAACAAACAGCTGACAAAGTTCGCACAGCTCTCGCGAACTCTTTTATAGATTAAAGTGTTTTTAAAACTTGTTAGTAAGTTAACGCTTTATGTTTTTTGTGGCTAAAGAATAATCGAATTAAATTTGTATTATATTAAGAGCTAAGTAGTGGTTTGTGGCCAGTACACTTTGTTCAAGTGTATCCTACTCACGTAAACGACAAACACTTCCGACGGTTTGAAAAGCTAAATGTATTACATAGTTAGCTTAATTAAAATTTCTTTTAACCACGGCCTGACATGGACGTTTCGGATGCTTTGCAGCAGCCGTGGTCATTGTTGGACTGTTTTATTTAAAATGTATCATATGCTTGCTAGGTTGTTATTTTTGATATAACACTAATATTAAGTTATGCTTTCTGGAAATTTGTATTTCAAATAAGTAAGTTTTTAATTTTATTTGTGTTTGTGAGTTTCAATTTAAAATTGTTTGTTTGGTTTATATAAAATACTATAATAGCTGTGTTAGCAACCTTGTCCGCGTAGAATATTTATTTTGGGCGTACAAATGTATGTTTGCAAACCTTTACATCTTTATAAGTTTAAGCTGACCACGACATCGGTAGCGTCCTATCGCTCGCGACTCGTCTTTCGTTCGTGCAAGTGAATCTTTAAAAAATAGATATATAGTGTTCTTTTAGATCATTTAAAGAGGAAGCATTTTTTTTATACATATTTTTTGGGTGAATTGAACCGTTTTTGCAGCGTACGCATCTGAAACCCACAGAGATGAAAAATTTCCCCCGTTTTGTTCACATTCACCGCTGTTTCTTCGCTTTTATTAGTCACAGTGCGATCTGTTATAGCTCCTTCCTCGATAGCGCGTTCTAAAAAACAAACAAACATACTCTTCAGCTTTATATATTAATATAGATGAATATTAAACAATTTTTAAGTATTATAATTTACATATGCATAAGAACCTATTTTATAAAATGGGGTAACAATTTAAACCGGGTCAATATCAAAATAAGTTCAACTAGCTCGATGCAGTTTTCGCTCAAAAAAGGAACTGTACATATCTCTATCAGAGTACTAAAACCTCGCATTGAATCATCTACATATATAGAACTGTACGCGGTACGGAATGTTAAGCAGAGAGACAACTCCCGTCTCAATTTATCTGTTCAACATTTTGTTGCTCGAATTTTTCCTAAAGAATACTCTTGTTACAATTGTGCCCGCACTGAGGGATTTACATTTCAAAGATGCTTCATCGTATTGAACTTTTCTGCCAAACCGGAGCTCGGTTCTGTAAAGGTATTTAGAGGTATTTTTTACAATACGTCTTTTGATGCACTAAACATATTTTTTTACAGGATCGTCGGTCTGATCGCGTTAATAGGTTAATACGATGTTCATAGATCTGATATGTACATATCACCAACTAAGCACATTGCTTGTTTGCGCTTCAAAGTAATAGAAAGTGTTTTTTTATTTTTATTATTAGCTTCATATGCTGATGTTTTATAGTTCCAATAGCTGGTCATCAAGTCGCGTCATTGGTTCTATGGCGCGCCAGTGAACTCCCATGTTTACCTTTAACGGTAGGTATGTATTAGAATATACAGAAAGTATGTTTGTAGCAAAGCGTAAATAGTATGTTTTCTAGCAAATTTCATCAATAATGGTAACATGCTGCCCTAAAAATTGTAAGTGATATATACGAAATAAGTATTTAGCATAAATACTGTCTATAGTTTACGCGAGTAGTACACATTTAAATAAAATACTTTAACGGTTTAAAGCGCGATATATTAGTTAAACTTATTTGAAAATGATTTTTAACTTCGGCCCGACGTTTCGGATGCTTTGCAGCAGCCGTGGGAGTTAAAAATCATTTTTAAATAAGTTTAACTAATATATCGCGTTTTAAACCGTTAAAGTATTTTATTTAAAAGTATTTAGCATATTTATCAAATCGGAAATAAAGTTTATTGTTCTGTTGGTAGTTATTAAATAGTAAATAATTATATAGGTCCGAATGAATATCGATCGGTGGATTGTGTACAAAAACATCTTTGAGATTTTAACCGTTAAAGTTATAATATGATAGTTCAGTGTGTAAGTACAAATGTCTTATCTCAAACTTGCTTTTCAAAAAACTTAGTTGAGTTTTACTTAAATATGTTAAGTGTGATCTTTTTTAGCTTGAACTAAAAGCTTTCTAATAGTCTAAAAACCACCACGCTAATATTATAAACATTTCTCACTTACCTTCAAGAAATTCGTTCTTAGTTAAGACACTGACGGAAATCTCGCCATAAAATATACAATCCGTCTAAGGCCTCATTACGCTTTCCCTTTCGTCAGGGAAAATACATACATTATTAATTTCTTCCATTTGTGTCTTGTATTTGCGGAACCTACATAGTTTTTTCTTTATTTATTTATTATCTCAGTAGATAGTTTGTTTAAGTTAATGTAAGAATAAAGTACGCTTCATGTTTTCTTTTAGTAATTCTAAAATAGTATAATAATTAATAGGAATAAGGAAAAGATAGAACTCTTCCAAACGTTTGTTTTTGTTAGAAGTTAAGTTTTAATAAATTTATATAATGATTAAATTTATTATTTATTTATTTAATCCAATATAAAAGATTTAAAGTTAACTCAAATTTTAAAGTTTAAATGTTACCGAATCTTTGAATATATGATTTAATTTTTTTATTGATTTAATTATTATTTAGATAGTCTTTATTTATTTCGTTACCTTTCTACCAAAATACGATTAAAACTTTGTAAAGTCTTATCTGTTGCAGTTCACAAAATCGTCACATTACCATCTCAGTTTTAAGTAAAGAGATAACAAGTACAGCCATAGGTTTAGCTTGTTATCGGATTTCGTACCTAGGTACATAAATAAGTAGTCTTGAGTAGATAAGTAAGTAGTCTTAGGTTACTTGATCTTACTTTGTACTTTAGCGACGGAACGTTTTCGATTTATTATAATGAGATTAAACATTAAAAAGCATATTTATTGGTTAAGAATTTATTTCTTAATACAATTAACATTCATTTCCACGTTATTAGCGACATTAATGGAACATCATTCGTGAACAAAAAATGTAACAAAACAGCTTTGCTGTAAGAAACAAGTTCACAAACTTAACATTGTTGGCCTTCAATTTATTTACATAAAATATATATTACTCGATCCAATAATTCTTATCTATTTTAAGTGAATAATTATTTGTATATTTTATGCCTAATGATTATTATATACAATGTACCGTTTCTATTACTTAAAAAAGATACTTTTCTTAAACGTAGCAGTATGCAATAATAATATTCTTATTTTAAGGTAATAGTGGCTTATTGTATGTACTTAAACTGCTTTAAATGATATTTTATTCAATAGAGCTATTGCATTTAGTATTTTAGGTAGCCACGTGAATTTAGCAATGGGGATAGTATTATAAAATTGGTAGTTTTATTTGGTGATCAAAATTTAGCAGCAATTCATTTATATACAAACCAATTAGGCGAAGATATTGTTTAGTTCCTCAGAATTTCATTTGAAAGGAACATTTAAATACTGCAATAATAATATGTAAACAATATTTTGTTTGCACCATTTTTTTATAAATATACATAAAACCAATTGTATTTTTGGTTTTAGGGGCGCCATTAGGACACACGTGTATGACGAATGTCATTCTCGAGAGATGTTGACCACACCTCGATTAAGCGTAAACTGAGTTGGTCTTAATTTCTTAATCACAATGGTTAAACAAAATAGCCGCGACAATTTTAAAATTAAAAAAATTTGATTTTACTATATTGTAGTCTTGTACACGATTCTTACATTGATTTAGCCTTAGAATATGTGGCCCAATTAATTTACCTACTTATTATAAGCTAGTTCAAGTAAAAAACGATAATAATATTACAATAGTAAGCAGACACAGAATCTGTGGCTGCCAGAATAGAGAGCCCTTATTCCATGTATCGTGATGAACAGCTGCCTGGTTTTCACCTAAAAAAACAGTTTAAAACCCCTTATGTATTTAATAATTCAGAAATATTTATCTAAGCGTAAGTATTAGAGATGTACTTTATTTTGTTAGCTTAAAACTTATATATATACATTAGAAAATCCGAGCAAGACGTTCGTTAACTAAAATCAATAAACTCACCACTTAGAACATGAACATTGATAATAACTTGTGAGTGGTTTAACAAGTGACAGCTGTATATTCCACTGTCATTTTGCGAAGCGGAGGAAACGCTGAACGTTGCACTGCGAAAAAACAAATGTCTTATATATATTAAATAAAAATATATGTAAAACGAATATGATGCAAAAAAAACCCAATGGCAAAATAAAACCTCGCTTGAACCAACGTTATTACTCACTTATGTATATGATTTACAAATTTGATAATTTATTATTAAATTATTTAGTTAAACTTTAAGAACATTCTTAGCATTGTATAAACTTATTATTAATTAATATTGTAAATCATAATTTTCTAAGGTTGCCTGGAACAAATCACTTTTTTGCGGTAAGGCCGCCATTTCTTGCAATATTTTTTGTAATACTTCTATTTTCAAATAAAATCTTATTCTATAATATTGTGGTAACAATAAAGATTTTTTTTGTTTCGTTTATTTGTTTGTTAAAATACATTGTAGACTTTTTTATTTTAAACATTCGAAATTCAAAAATGCCCAACAGCGTAGTAAGAAGTAGTCTTAACGAAAGCCCAATATAATTACAGGTTATAAATAAATATTAAATGTGTATTGTATATGTATACAAATAGATTTATCTAATCTACTTACACGTACGTGTTATATTTAATTACTCGCGGCGTGCGACTTCGTCCGCGAGAATCATTATTTAGGGCATCCAAATTCGTTTTTGCAAACCCCTTTATCTATATAAACTTATGCTGTTACCCACGACGTCGGCCGCGTACCTTCCCGTCGTTCTTGCAAGTTAATCTTAAAAGATAGACATATAGCGCCGCGGACTTTTTTTTAGATCATTTAAAGAGAAATTATCTTTCATATATCATTTCATTCATTTTTGCAGCTTATGCCTCCGAATGATGTAACTTGTGTTTTTTAACTCTTTTCACATTTCTCACTGTATCTTCGCATGTATTAATCACAAGGCGATGTTTTATAACGCTATAGCTTTTCACGCTTTAATCAACACAATTTTTTTTATTCAAACTCGTTGTTTCCGAGATTAGCGCGTTCAAACAAACAAACACTTCATCATTACATATTAGTGTAGATATTATTACACTTCGGTATTAGAAAGTGACTTACCTCATATTCCTCCAAGTAATAAAGTCCACTAGATCCTTCCCCTGTTTCCTCCAGACTAACCCGTAAATATTATTCAGTATCGGCCTAGTCACCGGCTGGACAGCCTCGGTCGTACTTTCACTTTTTGTCGTTGTGCTTATACTAACTGTGGAGGTTATTCTTGTCGTTTCAACACTCCAACTTCTGTTTAACATTAGATCTATTCTATTGAATATTGTGCTCATTCTCGTAGTCATTTCCGTTGTGGTAGTCTGTGGAGTCGTGGGTTTCGTCGACGTGGTGATAACTATTGGCACTTTAGTGGGCAGTGTTGAGACGTATTCGTCTGATATGACGCACGTTAGTTTGATCGAACTACCGGCTTTGTAGAATTTATCTTTGACGTCGTGCGTGGAATCGCCGTTTATGGTTAGGACTGGAGCTGTAAGAAATATATCTTAAGTAATTTTGTTAGCCTGTCATGTTATATCCAAAATAATATATAGACATCGTCGAAAATTTGATATAGATATATTTATTGTATGTTTTTTATGTTTTACTGGTGGAACTAATATAATTTATAAATAACTATGGTTAAATAGCTAGCTTTTCTATCTTCTTTTTCTGAGTTTCATAATAATATTATATATAATAAGGTATTTTAGAAGTAAAATAGTATTATGCATTCCTAGTACCTCAAAAACAATTTAAAAATGATTTGAAATGTTAAGAGAGGCGTTTGTCAAATACGAGTATGTTATGATAGAGGAGAACAGGCAAACAAGGCAACATACCCCAGCCATATAACATCCAAACTAGATGCGCTGTCGGCCTATTTTCGCTAAAATCTGCAGACTGGAACCGAAACGCGATTTGATGGCTTTTTCACGACCCGAATGAAATTTCGTTATCCCTACCACCCATTTGTTTCAAAAAAATTATAAATTGACTACAAAAAAATTGGATCCGGCGGGTATCAAATCCATGACCCGTTGATTAGTAGCCATAAGTTGATATCATCACAATAGCAACGTCTGTTCTTGTTAACAGTATCACTTGCTATTCGATAACCTATACAAGTTATTTAGTGAATTTTGTTATTCATAACGAAATTATTCACCCTTTTTGTAACAGTAATTAAAAAGAGCCATAAAGCAATCAAATAAAATGTAAATGTTTTATTAGTCCGCAGTTTAATATAGGATGTAAAGCAGGCGACGTGGAATGTGTTGGCGCTTTCACAAATTGTTCCACCCCACATCGTTATGTAAGCGATCCAATCACCGGCTGAGCCTATCAAACGGCTCTATTGCACTCGGGATCACTGCTTAGACCGTGTTTTCATGGGGACATCGAGCGAATTGAGATTTCATTCCGATCCAAACCCGATCCGAAAATTCGATTGAACGATTGAAATAAATCTATCTGCTATGTCTCTCATGGATTTCATCATTTTTGATTATCAGTTCTATAAATTAAAATAACTGAAGACCTGGGTTTTGAACCGGCAACCAACGTGATTTTAGGTCGCCGTTTTTTTTCAATGTTTTTAAAAATTGACACGACCTTTTTTTTAACAGATAACTGATGCACGCCCACGTCGGGCTATAATGATGTGGGGAGTGGGGTAAATCGTACTGCAACACCTCGGACGCGATAGTCAAAAATGGGCGGGGCGTAACATCAAACCTACGACTAAATCATTCAGTGCTGCTCTATTAACAGAGCTACTGTGTACCTCTCTTCATCAAGAAATGTGTTAAATCCATTTAAACATTTAGCCATTCAAGTAAACTAATATAATTTATTTATACCTTTAAAGTAAACATATATGTTTTTTACATTACAATTGTATTAAATTAATTGTTTTTATCGCCTTCTCTAATTAATATGTCCTCAACCTTAGACTATAAGCCCGTTTCAAGCAGTCCTGTATGGACTTTTATTGGTAACGTATAGAAATTGTTACTTATTCAATGCAGTAATTTGATTACAGTTACGAGTTATTATTTCAACCGAAAAACATGGACGATATGTACGGATTCAATGCAAATATTGTATTGTTGGAAATAAATGAACTATCTTGATTGACGTATTAACATTTTAAAATTAAACCCCAATTTTTATTACAAATATTAGACATTCGGCAACATTACTATTTACCGAAGTAATGGTGAATTAATACATAATCAATTTTAAATTAAAGTAGAATATATTATGTGTTGTATATCTTATAACTAATACTTTACTCTACATCATTGTTTATTAAAAAAATATGAAAATGCTTTTTTATGTTTATCATGGATAGACAAATCATTCACTTGGTGGTAGTCCCAGTTAATAACATCTAAACAATATGAACGATAAATATCGTGTTTCACCTACAAATGAAACCTCTAGGTATGTCACGTCACCAAGACTTTATACCTACTAAGTGTGCGTCTATAAACGCGTAAGAAACATTTGTCGAAAAAAAGGTGATTACGTTATTATGCTTAAGAAAATGTTGAAGGGATCTTACGCAATACAGAGAGATCCGTGTATATAGTTCGTGGGGGGTGAGTCGATATTTGGCACATGTAGCGGCCTGCATCCGACCATTTCACAGGGTTGATACTAAGTCTCCAGTTGTTCGGGTACTGGAATTTTGAAGCTACTCGGTTATCGCCGGCGTAGGGTGCTGGTCCCACTGTTAGCAGTTGCGCTGTTTCTGTGGCATGTCGTAGCCACATCACCTGTTTTAAAGAAAATGTGTTGTCTGTAGTTTAGTGCGAGTAGTACACTAAAAAACTAATATAACGGTTTATAGTCTTCTAACCATGGCTGCTGCAAAATATATTGAAAGTTTGGTAACTAATACAATTTCGGTTTAAACCGTTACAAGTAAATACTGTCCATGTTTACGCTGTACACATAAATAAAGCATCCGAAACGTCGGGCCGATGTTAAAAATACATTTTCAAACAAGTTTAACTAATATATCGCGTTTTAAGCCGTTAAAGCGCTTATTTAAACCGTTACAAGTGTTTCGGTTCCGTAAAAGTTGTATCGGTAATATTATGTGCTTTCATGATATCCCATAGCGATATCGTAGCCCAAAAAAAGGCGTTACATTTTCATTAAGAAACCTATGGTTTAACGTTTAAGTTAAAAATAAAAATTTATTGATAATCAAGTATTTTTCTAATAAATAAAAAAACAGGTTTACAGTCAATACGAAGTCACTATATACTTTACAATCCCAAAATGTATAAAACAAAGCATCCGAAACGTCGGGCCGTAGCTGAAAATAATTTTCAAACAATTTTAACCTAAATATATCGCGTTTTAAAGCGTAAAAGTGTTTTACTTAAAACCCAAAGTTTATTTATAAATACTTAATTACTATCATTTTGCACTACAGAGCAATTACCTAATTAAAAAATCGTGTTTTTTTTAATTATATAACATTTTCTTACAGTTTTATCTTTAAGCATGACAACCCTGCAGTTGAGTAGGGCTTCGGCCCCGACGTGGGCCGTCACTTGAGTGACGTTCCTCTCTTCAAAGTACGGCCCCCAGTGTCGCTCGTGATGGTGCAACTCTTGGTAAGGAGCATACTGGCGGGATTCTTCCGCCTTACCTGCAACCAAGGAGTCTTCTATAAAATTCGTATTTGTTTTAACACATAAACGGATAGACATATTTTCATGCTTTAATAATTATATTTTAACATAATGTAAAATAACATAGAGGCAAAGATGTTTGCTTATCTAATCAAACAATTCTTTAGGTATTGTCGTCGTTTTTAAAAGTAGTAGACATTTAAATAAAGCTGTTTACGAATTAATACCCGAAATAAATAGTTCTTTGTGACTATGACTGCTGTAAAGCACCGTAAATATGGGATAAAATAAAAATAACTACGTAATACATTTCCTGGTTTAAACCGTTAAAATTATTTATCCTTACTAAGCAACTTTTTTGTAAATAGCTTTAACTAGCAATTTATGAAGATTAGTATTGTGTTTGTCGTATAAGTAATTAAATATTGCGTAGGATTATTCATTTTGAGAAATTAAGAAGAAGAAGTTACTTCTATCAATATAATAATATTTCTAATTCAAAATAAGAATACGTTCCTATCCCTGCTGTGAGTACAATTGTTAGATTACGAAAGTAGGTGAATATATTTAGACCCTTAATTACAATTTAAAAGACAATTCTACTTGAATAGATCAACTTGATAGTTTTTCCCATTAAGATAAGTCGAGAATAGTCGTCGGGTATAATTTACATGAAAAATTAGACTCATTCTCTCATCATATCACTAATGTTCTCATTGTTGGAACAGACGTAATAAATGCATGTAATGGAACTAAATGTCTAGAGCATAAAAGGTAATATTTTATGTCGTTTCGGGGCTTTGTGTTACGATTGGGATTATTATAATTATCTTAAATCATTTTAAACACGTTTTTAATGATTATTATATTTTATATTTAATAAAATATGCAGAACTGTTTCAGCAAGGAATTTTGTGATAAAACATGTTGCCTACAGAGATAAATATTAGTTTCGATAAGTGAAAAATAACATGTCTGATGACAGACACAGATGTGTGTCCTTCCCCATGCTCCACGTCGAATGGGATTTTACTAAAGTCAGTAAAGAATTATAAAACTCGAATGATTTTACTTATGTTCAGTCTTTTAGTTCTCAAACTTTTGGTATGACTTAAAATCTTTATAAGTTTAGTGCTTTGAAATCATACATTAGATATTATTGGGTGGGAATATTGCATCTTCTATCAAATGAAACCTTTTTCCTTTTTACACATCAACTACTTGGTACGACGTACTTTCAGATGAATTTGGAAATTTTCTTTAACTCCGACGACTTAATTAAAGCCGTCGACACCCTTGCCACGACGTGATTCGTGGGCGCCGGCGCCGGCAATCGTCCGCGAAAGCGTCGAGTTCTTTTGTTTCACGTACCCCTCACTCGGGTGAGCATCCTACCACCTCTTCATTTCCCATCCATATTGTGCTAAACAGAGGCCGATGCGCCGGAGTTCCGGAATGTACGGCGAGTGTCGACACGCTCACTCAATTGGTTGGTTTATAATATTAGTGTCCACCGAGATAACATACACATAATTCGCTCAGAAAAATGTAATCTTCCTCAAAGTATTTAATTTGGTCGGACAATACGTATAATGGTATATAATGCAATATATCTCTGAATAAATTTGACTTTAATTACGATTTTCCCAGTTCAAAGACCGATAAGAAAGATGAAAATATCTTTTAAATTACATTTATAACTATGTAGTTCATTCGAGTTTATTATGGAATTAGTTTATAATATGAATGCAAAATAATAGTTCATTAGACGCTTGTTCTACATTCCGTGGCACGAAACGGTAAACGTTCCATTAAAGACAAGTAAACAATTAACTTGATGGAAATTCTTTGTTTGAAATATGCAAGCCTTTTTATTTTACAGCGCGATATTGAAGGCTCGGCTTCGGGTGGAATTGTTTATTGTACGTCTTTTGTTTTCGTTTGTTTTATTATGTGTCTTCATTAGCGTGTGTAATGCGTGTAAAGGGAACAAAAATGGAGAATATCCTGTTTTAATCATTATAACTTTCACAGGTTTAAAATATATAAGAGAGCAATGTTTTAAATAATTTTACCGGGAAATAAAATTATGACTATGGGCAGGGGAGACTTGGTTGCTTAGTTATGCATGCTTTTTTAATGCATTTCTTTTTCCTTAGCGTTTTTAAAACCCGTAAATAATTTTATTTAATGTTGTTAATAATTTTATAACATATTTGCTCGTGAAGTGGTTGTAATTAGGCCAATTTCAATATCGTAATGTATCTCTGTACTTGTGCGATAATGTAATGTAAAAGGCACGTGTTTTTTTTAAATAAAGTTTTAAGATACTCCGTCTAAAAATGAACGATACTTTTTAAAATCTTAGCAAAGAGGGTGAGAGAGAAACTGGGGAAATTGTAACTAATAATAATAACTTAACAACATTAAAAGTGCCAACTGGCATGGTAACAATAACTTTTAAAAATTGTTCAAATTTTTATAACTGCTTTAACAATTAATTAAAGATTTATTCGTTTAACTAAGTTAGAGTTTTATTCATTTCCTCGTAGATATGTTATAAAACGTCGTATGACATACGTGCGATTTGAAAATTACAGCCTCTGTTTTCTTATAGCCCTCGAGCCGATGGCTCGGGCTAGTAATATCGCCTCGGCTGTAATTTTCAACTTACCGCACTTATATCATAATGTACTATTACGATAAATCCACAATGAATATTGTTTTGTAAATGCATTAAGTTTAATAAAATTACCAAATTAATTTACACAAAAAAACCATAGCCAATGTGTGTGTGTATTACCAGTATATTATTAGTGTAATAAAGAATTATTTTTAATAAAGAAATGTGTCACTAGGAATCGAATCCACAAACTTCAGTGCCTCAATAAACACGTCTCCATACCTGGCGTAGCAAACAAACCAGACGTAATATCCTAAAACGTTTCGGGTTACAAAGGGCTGACATCGACCACCATAAATAGACCCCCAATCTCATTCAAGTTCAAGTTAATACCGTGTCTAATAAAAGCTATCGAGTCCGTATATAATCGATACTCACCCTGTAATAAACGATCGTTGTCTGTCGGGCCCTCTCGTATGCTCTCCCGCAGTTTCTTTGTAATATTCCGGAATATTTCCCGGGATAATGCGAGACCGTCCCGCTCATCGCTTCGCCGGGTACGGACGTGATTCTCGATACGTACAGGTTCTGGGCAAAATTTTGTACTTCAGTTATACGATTTGAGAATGAAAGTCGGCGAAAATTACGAGCGTAGTTTATGCAAGGAATACACATTTTACAGTTTGAAACGCGAAGTATATTTCTTAACGTTTTAAAACTAGGATGGTTTCTATGTTTTGCAGCTTCGAAGCGTTGTAGTTGAAATATAGTAAGTTACATTTCACAATTTAACCCGTTAAAAATGTTCTATTTAAAAAAACAAATAATCCTGAAAATGCATGTAAAGCATTGTAGGTTTCAATAAATAAAGTCGATATAACTTAATAAATTATTTTGATAAAACAGTGAAAAAGTGTGTTACGGGAGCATTATTATATACATATAGATTATTATTATGCCCTGCCCGACCAATTTTTTTTCCCGGGATTCAAACCTAGGAGTTCTTGTGCTTAACGCAAGACATTATTATGACGCAAAACAATACTGTAAACATACGTAACATTTTAACTACGGCCTGACGTATCTGATGTTTTGCAGCAGTTGTGGTCTCGAGGAGACAAAAGATAGATGTCTCTAATGTGAAAGTAAAAACTGTTACACTAGCGCCATCTATTCTGGCGTATTTGCCATTAGCCGAAGGACAACGGAACACATGGCGGGTAGTTAAAATAATATCCAAGTAAGGATTACTAATCTATTCGCGTTTTAAACAGTTAAAGTGTTTTATTTAAATGTGTACTAGTCGCGTCAACTACAGACACTGTAGTACAAAGTTACATGTTTGTTATACCATTAATATGACCAATTGAGTTTCTGTTGGTGACCTTAGTTGAACATTGTGTTAAGAACGAGAGGTCCTGGATTCGAATTGCGAGAAAACGTAATAGGTAGAAACGTTTAAATAAAACACTTTAACGGTTTAAAACGCAATATATTAGTTAAACTTATTTGAAAATGATTTTTAACTTCAGCCCGACGTTTCGGATGCTTTGCAGCAGCCGTGGTCACGGGGAGATTGGAACAAATAAGTTTAACTAATATATCGCGTTTTATAGCGTTAAAGTGTTTTATTTAAATGTGTACTACTCGCGTAAACTATAGACAGTATTTAGGTAGAAACGGTTGAGCAGTTTAAAAGATTTTCGGCACGAAAACTTTTGCTTGTGAGTATTATAGATTAGTGAATGGACAAACAAATTCGTCTGCCCTACAACTACTCTTGCAAAGATAATAAAATAATCATATTGTTACAGAATTTTTTTTTAAATTATGTAGAAATGTATGTAATGATATCGAGTTAAATAAGTCATTATAGCTATATGGCTATTTGGCTTTGATTTCTAACTTTGTCATCGACAGTAATTTATAACAACTATAAGATGTATTTCGACTGCCTCTGTAGCCAAATGGTTAAACGTATTGCCTAGAATTGCGTTAAGTGCGAGAGGTCCTGGGCCCGAATCCCAGGGAAACAAAAAGTTGTTTCGGTCGGGCAGGGCACAGAAGTCTGTTAGAGAACGGATCAGTGAAACGGACACAAAAATGTGTTCGCCCCATGTCCCACGAGGGGGAAACGGGATTTCACTTTTTTTTATAAGATGCATTCTTCGTAAGCAATATAAAAAAGAATGTATTGAACACAGGATGAGTGAACCAGTGCTTACGATACAAATTACTGCTAAGTTACCCAAGAAATGGCGGAACTCGTAAAGTGACAATAAACTTGCAACCGAGCGAACAATCAATTTTATTGTATTCAATTCACCCTCATTTGCATACAGCGGCAGTGAACGGGGATAAGCTTTAAAAAGAAAGTGTGAAATTTGTGGCTGGGGAAGGAATAGTCAATAGAACATTGTAGTAAATGTGTCTTTGGAAAAATTCGTCTTCAGTAAAAAAAAAAACATTTATTTATCCTTGGTTTCTTATTGTCTTATAGTTGGCAGTTAGCTTCCTTTTTTATAAGAGATACAATTAAAAGACGTAAGCTTACTACGCTGCTTCAGTGCTGATTGGTAGGATTCAACTAACTACTTATTCTTGTAAAGAGTTCGTTTGTTTGAACGCGCAAATTCATTTATTTACTTTTGCATCGGATAAGCTATAAAATAGTAAAGAAATGTAGATATGAAAACGCCGAGAAGTGCAATGGCGTTTCGGTTGTGAATATTCAAAGATCCAAAGCCAATATAGGTCTTGTTAAAATGTTATATGGCTTAGGGATTTCACTTTCTATGAATTACTTAACTTAACTAATTTAAACAGTTAAAACACGATAAAATAAAACACTTTAACCGTTTAAAACGCGATATATTAGTTAAACTTATTTGGAAATGATTTTTAACTTCGGCCCGACGTTTCGGATGCTTTGCAGCAGCTGTGGTCACGGGGAGACTCCCGGAGGAGTTTAACTAATACCCCGCGTTTTTAACCCTTTAAGGTTTTTTTTTTTACCCCCCTTTTTTTTTTTTTTTTTTTTTTTTTTTTTTTTTTTTTTCCCCCTTTTTTTTTTTTTTTTTCCCCCCCCCCCCCCCCCCCCCCATTTTTTTTTAAATTTTTTTTTTTTGGGGGTTTTTTTTTTTTCCCCCCCCCCCCCCTTTTTTTTTTTTTTTTTTTTTTTTTTTTTTTTTTTTTTTTTTTTTTTTTTCCCCGCTAATATTTTTTTTTATTAAATTGAACACTCCCGTTATTAATTACATAGCTCAAAACATACCGAAAAAGGGGCTAATTTCCCCGGAGTTTTGAATTTCCCCCTTTTCCCGGGGGAAAAAAAAAAAAAAAAAAGGGAAAAAAAAAAATTTTTTTTTCCGTTTTTTTTTTTTTGGGAAAAAAAAACCCCCCCAATTTTTTTTTTTACCCTTTTATTTTTATTTTAATTTAAAAAAAAAAATTTTTTTTCATCAATTTGCTACTGAATTTGTAACTACGATACATCGCGTTTTAAATTGTAGAGCTCTCGTTAAAGTGTTTTATTTATAAGACATTAGAATGCCGTTTGACCGGCTCGTTAGTACAGTGGTAACAAAGAATGGCTTTTAACCAACGAGTCGGGGACCCCCCCCCCAAAAAATTTTTTTTTTTTTAATATTTTAAAAAAATTTCTTCTACAAAAAAAAAAAATTTTAATATTTTTTTTCCCCCCCCAAAAGTCGAAAATAAGTCAATAGTGCATCTCGTCAAGATACAAATACAAATATTCTTTATTGTCACAAAACAAAACACCAAAAAAAAGTATATATAAAAATTGATGGAAATTAAGGACAAACGGCGACTTTATAGCCAAATAGCTATCTCTTCCAAGCAACCGCGATAGAAATAAAAAAATCAGTAATAAAAAGGATTGCGTGACAGCAGAAAAAAAGACTTAACCTACATTATGCTCATATCTAAACAATAATACAAAATGAACTTAACCTAAAAATCATTAGTTCCTATCTTAACCAAGTTACTTAATTAGGCATAAATAGTGGGACTTGACAAGATTCTTGAAGGAAGCGAGTTTCTGGGCTTTTCTTATATTAGAAGGTAAATTGTTCCAAAGTTTTATAGCTCTCACATGAAGGGATGAATCTTAGAATTTAGTTGAGTGAAAAGGAAGATGTTATATGGCTAGGGTATTTCATCTTTCATCAGTGAATCCCGTGCCTATCTGTCCTCCTCTATCAAAACAGTGGAAGAGTGGAGAAATTAGTAAAAGGTTTCAGTTTTGAATTCGCCCATTTACGTAACGTGACATTTAATAATATGTATTATATTAGTCACTGTGAAACTGCAGTATTTATAATATAATATTGGAGAAATAATTAACGCTTTTATGTCACGTTTTATTTAAGGCTAGAACACTTTGGGCACAACTGAAAATGATTTTAAAGCCAGTACGATTAAGCTAATACGTGTTGGACGAGTGCGTCTCAAACTCGGATGATTAAAGACTTATCTCAGAATCTAAGGCTATATCTACCTGATGCAGTGTGGAAGCAGCATAATGCTAGGCACACAAGGTTGAGGCGGCTCCACTGCATATTAAAGGATACATCACAGGCGTTATTGCATAACGCCGGTCACCTGTAACAAACAATCAAAATTAAGCAATCAGTTGTTATATACCAGTATAAGTCAGTACAAATAAAAATTAACTAAAAATACATATAATGGATATATATAATAGCGGGGAACCATGTGGTTGCCGGTTCAACTACTGCCCATGTTGTATTTTTTTAATCTAAAATTGATTTTTTTAAATAGTAAAGTATAAAAAATAAATTTTATTACAAATATAAATATGGACATTCAATTTTGACTAAAACAACGTTATTTTTAGGCGTTATACGTTTAAAATAAAAATATGTCGAAAATTATCTGATAGAAAAATGAATTAAATAGCTACAATATTGTTAGATGTGTCAAATGTTTCATTTGAAAAAGGTGTTTTCCCTCAACAAAAGAAGGTATTTCATATGAGTATAACTCATTGTCGGCTTCGTATTAGCAAGTCGGCAAACCTGATACCTACTACACGCGGGAACCCAAGCAATAAATAAGATAAAGGGGAATTCGTGGGAACAAAAGGTGGATTTCAGGTCAGAGCTTACATTATAGATACTTGAAGCTTAGGGTAGTAGGTCGCTTCTGAAGATTGTACACAGATAAGTAACGTAACAATCAAAATTAGATACCATTTTATATTTCATACAATAACAAAATAATAGTTTGATACACAATCTTTCGTAAGATGTTTTGTCTTTTAGTAACTTATCAAACATAATGTATATAACATAATTTATAAATACATCTTTAACAACGCATTTCGCATTGGGTGCTGGGTTTGAATCCCGGTGAAGCATTATTGACATGTGAAATAGGCACAAACAGTTCGCCCCATGTTCATTGTAGGGTCACAGTACGAACTAAAACAGAATGCTTAAATAAATAATTTAGATACAAACAGAGTTATATAAACATTGCAGCTACCGTTATAAAGTAACTAAGTTTGAATGACCACATAAAAAAATTGATAGTAACTTGTAAAAAAAACTGTTATAATTAAAAGGTCTTAGTAATGTCACACTATTCAAAGGAATTAGACAAAGGTAAGATTAAAAACTGCATAAATTAATAAATTAATGACTATAATTGTTATATTATATTGGCCATTAATAGTAGTTAATAAAAGTTATAAGTTAGCTTTTAAGAATTAAAGTAAAACTCGACACTTTTTGAATTGAAAACTTTTCCAAAGACTGTTAAAATTCTACGGTTGGCTGAACTACTGGCACACTCCTAAATTTACATACCTTGTAGATATTGAACTCGAGCAAAGACAATGGAATCTAAATTTCAATCAATTCGACAAAGTTCCATTCGATTTTCCTTCATTAGTAAATAAAATAAAACGAGAAACAGATTTCTCAATATTTACTCAAGGATATTCAAAATACACTTAAATTTGATGATTGTAGAAATTATAATTTTTCTGAGACATAAATATACAAACGCGAGAATTAGTTATTGTTAAAATTTGGCGATATTTTTTACGGTACACGTTTGCTCGATTTTTTTTTAAATTTGCAAGGGACGTTGGTGGTTTAGGGCATGAGTCACTTTTATTAACATATGCAATTTATAAGGAATTTATAAATTGCATATAATTATTTAATAAAAAAATATGTTGATAGCGTAAAAATTCGTCTCACGTTTACAAGATTAGTATCCATTTCAATAAAACACTTTTTACCGCTTAAAACATGAAATATTTTTTCATTTAATTAACCTACGTAAACGTTTCGGATGCTTTCCAGCAGCCATGGTCACGGGTAAACTGAAGACAGAGAGTGACCCTAATGTCCAAGTCAAAACTGCTACTGTAAAATATATTTTATTTTAATGTATCAATATTAGCGTATTGAAAATGGTATAGGTACGGACAGGCAAGCCAAATGTTCTTAGCAAGGCACATGTTGTCAAATGCGAGCATTTCTATTTCTTAGAACGTCTAATGACATCTGTTAGCTATGCTGTACACAAAAATAAAAACTTAGATTTGGAATCAAACTTCCAGCCCCCCGAACGGCCTATGCTTTTCTCAATTTTAAAGACAAAGTGGAATAAACTAGCATGGACTATATTAAATGAAATGTAACATACATCAACCCTATAAAATCTAATCAGGTAAACTTTTGACCTATTTTGGTGTGAAGCATTTGAAAATCGATGGACTAAAATCGAAACGCCAATTACGGTTTTCTGACGGTGTGACCCGGAGATAATTTATATATTCCTATTTATTGATTAACGTCTAATTCTTTCAAAGAAACTAGAATATATTCTTGTAGAAATGACTTATAACTTTTCAATTTTAATCGATTCACGATTCTTTGCTAATAATCGACTTGTCTAATATATATTTCCCCTTTGTATTTCATTGTGACTTTCATTTTCATTTTCACTAGCACATGACAATATCAATCAAATCGTCATATCCAATTTAATCCTAGCGTTTTCCTATATTGGATATCAGATATGGTTGAATGTTGATTTACAGTATCTTATCGCTTCGGGTTGTTTATACTATGCAATAAATACAAACAGTTGGCTATATTTAAGAAAGTGTTTTAATTTAGGATGGTACCTTTTTTAACTTCCACTATGAAAAATATGTTTTTTGTACCTTAAAAAAGCGCCTAAAATCTATATTTTAAAGTACTCGAAACCAACGTATTACCGTGACCTAATGACGTCACGGCTTCTGGAGGTTGAGTAAAATGTAAGTGGATAAACAAATAACATGAGCTCTAAGTTTTATAAGTTGTGCGGAGTAGCATCTCTTTGTAAAAGATATTCAAAGAAAACACCTGCAAAGTTGTTTATTTATATTCCTGCTACGGTAGAATTATTTTTTTTATATATCAATAAAATTAAGGAAAATGATTGCGATATATAAGTAAGCACTACCATATTCGTATTCGAATTATACATTGTTTTATTACATTTAACATATCGATTATCAATCGACAATGATAGTGAAACTTGTATCAAACTACCTTCTCATAAATATCTTTGTTGTTAGATGAGAACTCTAGCCATGAATCAATTCTGAATTACCTACTAGTATTTCATTCTTGTAGTGTTTTATAGTTTATTATGCAAAATTAAACGCTTATAACGATTATATTGCGACTTATTAAAATCAAATAAAGCAAAGCGTCGTTGGTTCATACCAAAAATACCTATGGGCCAAGAAACGGACGTATGGGCTACCTATTACTGACAGGTGCACAAAACGATAATTCTCTTTGTCCCTATTAAAATCAATATCTTCCTAGGGCCTTGAAACCAGTCAGTAAAATTTTTCAATTTAAATAGAGCTAGTATATCCAAAATAAATGAAAATACGTATGTAGAAGTTCTATATATACAAAATCTGAATGCAGCAACATGAAGCATAATAACTTGGAGTCTTATCACGGAACGTACAACCTCTTTCAGAAATGCTTAGGAGTAATCTTCGGGGATTAGAATAGCAAATAGACTTATGTAACGAGTTCATGCATAAGTCAAGAGTGGTGGATGTGTGAATTCAATGAAAGGTTTTGATGGATGGCAAACACGTATTTCCATAACTTTGACACAATGATACAGTAATCTAGCAAAATTATTACTTAAAAAACATCGATATAACTCTTTGCTTTGTTTTTTAGTAACTCGACATTTGTAACGCTTTTCAGTGGAACTTTTACCTTCTATAGTCGTTGAGACTAAAGAAATTTACATAAATTCCTTTTTACATAAAATTGTGATTTTTCTTAGTAAATTTGAGGTAGTTCATTAATCTAATATATAATCCAGTGCCTCAACGTGTGTTTAGTATGAATCAATAAGAAAATCACCATTTCATATAAACTGTGTGTTTGTTTACCAAAATGCCAAGTGAGAAAAAAATACACTTTATACCTTGCGTCGAATCTAGGTTATTCTTCAAGTTTTGAATTTAACACGTTTACTGAAGTTTTATATAACTAAGTTAATTATAAAATGGAAGTAAGGCAGGCTTTTGTCAAAATTCCACCCGTTGGTGGAAATATTGACGATTAAGAGGACGAATGATTCTACAATCTTTGGACAATATTACAAAAGAACAAGCAACTTACTAAACTTCCAATACTAACTTCCAGAATACTAACTAACCATGAAAACCGTCTTTATAATACATTGTTTTGTACTTAAATTTTCTTCGTGTTGTTCTATAGTTCTATTCATTGAAGCTTTGAAACATAATGCACTGTGAACAGATTAACACGTCGTCTAAACACGAAACTGTACTCTATTTCCGACGGTTACAGCGGGTTGTGGTAATCTTATGACTGTTAAGTTTCGTTTGTTGGCAACACTGCCTTAGACAATTTAATAAGATTCATTAAAACATTTTACATGTAGGAATTAATACTTGAGGGCGAGTTGCTTTGACTAACAGATAGCATAAAGATCCTCTTCGTTAATTTTATCCAAACAAGCAGTGTTTTAGAAAGGAAATAAACATTTTTTGAATCTTAATGAATGAAATGACCGATGTTTTACGACATAATAATTGGCAATGTAAATGTGTGATTTGTGAGAGTTGAAAGAACCTTTATATACGTACCTACCCTTAATATAAGCATAGTGTATTTTTTTAAGTTTATTAAAGGCTATATAACTGCGTCGTTCATCTTTTTCTTTTAAATTCACGTTTTGCGTACAAGAATTGTTTTACGTAAGTTAAAGTTAGCGAAAAAAAACTTTTTCGTTTTTTATACCAACAAGTTTATAAAAAGCAAGTAAAATAAATGAATATTACGATCACAATATGAATAATATCAAAATAATATGAATTAAATGCGTTTCCGCAACATGGCGTAGGGGTGGAATCACTGAGTCCGATTCACTAAACTATTTCAAAGGCCATTTAGTTTTAGTGTCTTACCTAACCGAGTTTCTGATTCTCCAGGTTTTGAACCCAAGACTTGTGAACGCAACGCTATTTAAA